CAAAAATTAACTTCACTACCTAAAGAAGCCATACATCCAATATTGATCCCCAAGAATCGGGGCAACAAAAATGATTGTGCAAACGCCCACAGTAACGTGTTACATGGTGGGGAAAAGCTGAACACTTGTCAAATACAAATCCTACTGGGTACCCCAGGTCGAAAAGTGTGAAAAAACAAAAAAAGGACTGATTACTTGTCGTCACTAAAAAGCGATAGGGCATACCAGGTCCACCTCCATACCCCTCTGAAAGATTTTGTCATATCATTTCCATTTGAGTGACGGGTAGTTTAACGGGACCAAAATTTTTAACCAAAACGTTGAAAAAATTTCCCAAAAGGGTACATCTTTTTGTTCACTTGTGTACAAACTAGAGCAGTACACTAGAAGTAGCCACGACGCCCTGCTAAAAACTTTAACAAATATTCAAAGGTTTGCACCCCAAAAGGGCATGTCCCAGACTATGTTTTTCAGATAATGAACGAACTTGTTGCTGGGCTGCTTAATAAGCAAGATCTTTGATCACCAAAGTAAAAACAGATCGAACAACCAGATGTCGTTGGGAAGATACATTCCTCCTAAATCTCCATGGCACGGCGGTTTTTAAAGAAAGATGGGCATTGAAAAACGTTGTTTGGAAGACTCTTCACGTCAGAGAATAGACTTGAAGAACCCCTACCGTTGGACTGAAATAAAAATAGAGTCAAAAACAACCTCTAACTTTTTACCGTTTACTGGAAAATTTTAGAAGTGAAAGTCCACTCATTTACCCCAAGGGAAAGGCTCGAACCTGTTCCTCCCATGAATGAAAAGAAATCAAAGGATCCTACTTATTTCGAACCTGAGCAACTCAACGAAAATTCAAACACCTTAAAAAGGATTGAAGTTGGGAAAAATTTTTGGGAAAACTATCTCACCTCATTGAGAGAACACTTCTTGGAGCTGGGTTCCTGAAAACATAAGCCTTAAGACCGGGGGCATAGTGATTACGACAAGATGGTCCCCAGGTCCCAATGGGCCCTTTAAAAAAATTTTGACCATAACCTGACAAATGGGAAACATCAGGACAGTTGATGTTTTTAGGGGAAAGGTGTAGTGAATAAGCGGCCAAATAAATAAACTAGTGCCGTTAGAATTAACACAGTGTTGAAAAAACAAAATTCAGTGATTCTCCAGACACCACCACAGACTAAAGCAGTTCAGAAAAACAAGCAGCAGTGGTGCGAGTGAGAAAAATCAAATTAATGTTAATGATGAATAGTACATCCTCAGCGAACCCCTCCGGCCCCCAGTGTGGAGATAATTTCCTTCCAGAGGGGGGTGATCAGCCCCCTTCAGCCCCTTCTCAGGCCCTTTCAGGTCCCTAGGCCACTCAGAAGGGGGCGAGCCATCTGTTTAACTGCTAGAGTGAGTAATTGATCACAGATGCTATGCCACGTAGTACAAATGACCTCCTGCTCTCTTGCAGCGGTGTTGCAACTGTATTTTTATAAGAACAGTACATCCCTCTTTACTTAGCAGACAATAAAGGAAAATCTGCTCCCACTTTATTAACCATAGTAAAGATATGTGTAAATTGTTTGTCTATGATTAAGACAGCAAGAAACAAACATTTTGCTTTGCTTCATCGAGGAGGTGACAGGGATGCAAGGTACTACATGTCAGCGTTTTTTTTGTGTATTAGGGCAGTGACGGCATGGAGCGCTGGGGCGACTGGTAGACTATCTTTGACTCTAGGAGAGTGACCACTGACGCCATGATAACTAGCAAAGAACACTGATCTGTGCGTTAGTGTGGAACTAAAGTGTCTCACAAAACAACATAACATAAGAGAAGTGTTATCACTTCTCTTGTTATACATTGTTGAACAATAAACAAATCTTGTGGAACATAGTGTACCAGTGTGCGTTTCCTAGGCAATGGATAGACGTGGACATCCAAGGACACTTCAGCTTCTATCAAGTCACCCGATTATCTGTCGAAGTGTTGAGAACAACATAGCTCACGTTACAAAAGAGCAGGTATGTTACGAATTTCTTGTAGACGGGATTGGCGCAATTCTGAGTCACAAAGAGTTTGTAATCAACCTATAATCGGCAGTAAGGTGTGGACTATTGAGTCCAAACAAGTAAGTATTTCGTCCCCATCATCGAATGAAATATGCTGACATAACACACCCTAGGTAAATTATACCTTATAACAAATTGTATCTCATGACAGCCCCCTGTTGTGAATGGTATCGACGACAGCTTCTAGACCTCGTCTGCAGGGGCGGCTGTGTAGACGATTTGCTTGTCATTTTATCAGCTAAGTGTTCATTATATATATTATTATAATAAACACAGCAGGTCAGGCCACATTCTCAACAATCACTAGGTGAGTACACACACATACACACACACACACACACACAACACACACACAGTGATGTATAACCACCACAGTACAGCACGAGGCCAAGGCAAGAGTACGACGAGAGCAATAGAGCGATGGTGATACACTGGCTAGAGTGGCCAGAAGAAGCTCATCATCAGTGCAAAGCTCCTGATCATGGTGACCTTAACCACAAGGGGATCGATGGGATAACTTGGACCCACATGGGGGCCAAGAAACCATGGAGGGCTAAGAATGATGGAGGTGGTACTGGAAAACTTCATGTGCCAACACGTAAGGGACACTACAAGAGAAGAGAGGATAGATGAACCAGCAAGGCCTGGACTTAGTATTCACCTTGAAGTATTGCAGATATCGAAGGACATCACATAAACGAAATACCCCTTGGGGCCAGTGACCATGTGGTTTTAAGCTTCCGAATACACGTAGAGCTACAAGTGGAGGGAGAAGCAGGAATGCCATGAACGACATGAAGCCAAACTACACGAAGGTGGATTACACAGGAATGAGGAACTACCTGAACGGGTTTCAGTGGGACAGAGAACTGGCAGGGAGCCAGTTAATGAGATGATGGAATAAGTAGCAACAAAATTCAAGAGGCTGAGTAGAGGTTTTGTACCCCAAGGGTAACAGGATAATGAAAAAGCCAGGATGAGCCCATGGTTTACCCAAAGGTGCAGGAGGCAAAACCAAGTGTGCTAGGGAATGGAAGAAACTATAGAAGGCAAAGGACCCAGGAGAATAAGGAACCAGTCGTAGAGCCAGAAACGAAATATGCACAGATAAAAGGGAGGCCCAAAGACAATATGAAAATGACATAAGCAGCGAAAGCCAAATCTGACCAAAACTGTTGTACAGCCTCATCAAGGAGGAAAACAACAATCAAGGACCAGGTTATTCAGGCTAAGGAAGGAAGTAGTAGAGTCAACAATAAAATGAACGGGAAGCATGTGAAGAACTCAACAAGAATTCAAATAAGTGTTCACAGAGGGAGACAGAATGGACTCCAGAAAGACGGAGATGGGGCACACCACCATAGTCTGGACACATGGCACACAACCGAGGAAGAAGTGAAGAGGCTTCTGAGTGAGCTAGATACCTCAAAGGCAATGGGGCCAGATAACATCTCCCCATGGGTATTGAGAGAGGGAGCAGAGGTGCTATGTGTACCCCCTAACAACAATATTCAATACATCTATCGAAACAGGGAGATTGCCTGAGGCATGGAAGACAGCAAATGTAGTCCCAATCTTTAAAAAAGGAGACAGACATGAAGCATTAAACTACAGACCAGTGTCACTGACATGTATAATATGCAAAATCATTTAGAAGATTATCAGGAGAAGAGTGGTGGAACACCTAGAAAGGAACGATCTCATCAACAGCAGCCAACATGGTTTTCAGGGACGGGAAATCCTGTGTCACAAACCTACTGGAGTTCTATGACATGGTGACAGCAGTAAGACAAGAGAGAGAGGGGTGGGTGGATTGCATTTTCTTGGACTGTAAGAAGGCATTTGACACAGTTCCACACAAGAGATTGGTGCAAAAACTGGAGGACCAAGCAGGATAACAGGGAAGGCACTAAATGGATCAGGGAATACTTGTCAGGAAGACAGCAGCGAGTCATGGTACGTGGCGAGGTGTCAGAGTGGGCACCTGTGACCAGCGGGGTCCCGCAGGGGTCAGTCCTAGGACCAGTGCTGTTTCTGGTATTTGTGAACGACATGACGGAAGGAATAGACTCTGAGGTGTCCCTGTTTGCAGATGACGTGAAGTTGATGAGAAGAATTCACTCGATCGAAGACCAGGCAGAACTACAAAGGATCTTGGACAGGCTGCAGACCTGGTCCAGCAATTGGCTCCTGGAGTTCAATCCCACCAAGTGCAAAGTCATGAAGATTGGGGAAGGGCAAAGAAGACCGCAGACGGAGTACAGTCTAGGGGGCCAGAGACTACAAACCTCACTCAAGAAAAAGATCTTGGGGTGAGTATAACACCAGGCACATCTCCTGAAGCGCACATCAACAAATAACTGCTGCAGCATATGGGCGCCTAGCAAACCTCAGAACAGCATTCCGACATCTTAATAAGGAATCATTCAGGACCCTGTACACCGTGTATGTTAGGCCCATATTGGAGTATGCGGCACCAGTTTGGAACCCACACCTAGCCAAGCACGTGAAGAAACTAGAGAAAGGAAAAGGGTTTGCAACAAGACTAGCCCCCAGAGATAAGAGGTAGCTACGGGGATGGTTTAAAGGGAAATCAACCTGAGCCCCGGGGGCAGGAAGATAGGGGGGACATGAAAACGACATACAAAGTACTGAAATTTTTTGAAAGGGTGGAAAAAGACAGGATGTTCCAGAGATTGGACCAGTAACAAGGGGACACAGTTGGAAGCTAAAGAACAGAGAATCCAGGGGTGTTAGGAAGTATTTCTTCAGCCACAAGTAGTCGTAATAAAATATTTGGGAAGCGATGAGTGGAGGCGGGACCCCTAATAGCTTTAAGCAAGGTATAAAAAACTCAGGCTCGGGGAGAGTGCCCTGTGGGATCAGTAAAGGGGGGGGCCCCAGGATTTGGACTCGACCCCCGCAACCTCAATGGGGTGAGTACAACGGGTGAGTACACACACACACCCCCCTGGGGAAGGAGGCTAGATACTTGAAAGGAAATGGGGGAGAGGTTAGCACAAAAATGCAGAAGGGGGAAAAGAAACATCCACAGTACAGAAGCCAAGATGAGAGTTTGGGAAGAAGGATGAAAAAATCTGAAACGCCAAAGAAAAAAGATAATACAAATAGCATCAAAATGTTTACATCGGACAGACAAAGGTGTGAAGGGGAGCAGGGAAAGCTAAACTGATGCGGGGGTCCGTCAACCCCAAAAGGGGCCCAAAAACAAAGACAGGGAGCACACTAGACAAAATGAGAGGTTGGAAACATTGAAGGAACAGGACATGTGCGGACCTTCCAAACCTGGGGGGGCCAGGAGCGGTGAGCAGGAAGGATAAACCAAGAACATGGGCCAAAAACTAGGGGGGACTAAAGGAAAGAAACTCCACGGGAAGGAAAAAAAAACCCCTCAGAAGATGCAAGGGGAGTCACAGTGGGAGGGGGAAAAGGGAGAGATCATTTTTTGTCTATGGGCTAGCGAAGTGAAGTGGAAACTTAGAGGAAAGAAAAGCGAAGGAGAAAAAAGCGAATGAAAGTTCATGAAGGTGAAGGCGAGGGAACTGCCCCCAGGGGCAAATTTTGGGGAAAAAATGGTGGTTCAAAAAGAGAAAGGAAGGGGCCTCTCAAAGTAATTTCAAGCGCATCAACTAGAACAGATCCTGCAGGAAAAAGCAGGGTTGAGAGGCAAACGGGGTTCTGAGTGTGTCCTCGATCGAGACGAAAAAAAGGAGGAAAGGTGAAAACGAAAGAGGAGTGCAAAAACAAAAGGGAAGAAGGGGGAAATGACAAAAAAGAGCAAAAACCCAGGCACGGGTGGAAGGGCAAGCACACCCCTCAGAAACACCTGCAGGGCTCCACCGCGACTTCCCCCAAGGGAACGAACAATCCAAACCAACCATCAACACCCACCCCCCTGTTCCCCCCCCACCCACAACCCCACCCCTAAGTAACCCCCATGGGAGTTCTTTCCCCACCCCATGCAACCCCCCACAGGGTCCCCCAGGACTCCTGCTCTCCCAAACCCCAGTATTTTCCCCCGTTTACGTATTAAACAGAAGTTGAAGGTTTTGGGACACAAATGTGATATTAACGAATAAATAAGGAATGGCAAAAAAAACAATGAGAAGTCCCCAGAACATAGCAGTTTTCAGAACAAAAATCATGGAGCAAAAACAATGCATATTCCCACCAGGGGTACCAGTCATGAGGAAAGATAGAGGGGCAAGGGGAGGAGGGGTTGCTCTGTTTGTAAAAAACAGAAGGAAATTCGAGAAAATGGGGGGCATAGACGAACAAGAAAGGGACTACATAGTAGGTACACTTCAGTCGGGAGCACAAAAGGGGCATTGCATGAGTTAATCCACCACAGAACTCCAGGGGGGCCAGAGAGGAAAAGAAAGAGCAACAGAGCAATGGGGGACACACTTCTGAGGGGCAAGAAAGCTCCTCCAGCAGAGCAAAGTTGTGGTTATGGGTGATTTCAACCAAGGGGGGGACTGCTGGGAAAACCCGGAGCCCCATGGGGGTCCCCCAAAAAATGAGAGCCAAGATTTGGATGTGGTGCTGGAAAACCTCATGCAAACCAACAGTTTAAAGGGCCTACAGAGTAGAGGGGGAGAACCAGCAAGGGTTGGCCTTGTGTTCCCCCCTGGGCATTCAACATTGAGGACTCAATATGAGAGCCCCCAGGAGCTAGTGACCAGTGGTTCTGTGCTTTTAATAACAGTAAGTTTCAAGTGGGAGGTAAAAGGGGTTGAAGGGGAAAAACCTGACTATAAAAGAGGGGGGCTACATAGGTTTGAGGGAACTTCCTGAGGGGGTTCCGGGGGGCAGGAGAACGGCAGGAAACCAGTAAATAAAAGATGGAATCGTAACAACAAAATGCAAGGAGGCAGTGAAAAAAGGTTTTTTCCCCAAGGCAAAGAAACAATGGGGAAAACCAAACGACCCCTGGGTTTTCCCGACGGGGAAGGAGGCAAAAAGAAAGGCAATAGGGAATGGAAAAAATACAGAAGGCAAAACACATAAAATAGGAGATTGTCGCAGGCCAGGAACGAGTAGCCCGGTAAGGAGGGAGGTTCAGCCAGTAGAAAATAATATAGCATCGAAAGTCAAGACTGACCCGAAACTGTTGTATAGCCACATCAGGAGGAAGACAGCAGTCAAAGACCAGGTGATCAGACTGAGGACAGAAGGCGGAGAACTCACAAGAAATGATCAGGAGGTATATGAGGAGTTAAACAGGAGATTTAAGAAAGTTTTTACAGTAGAGACAGGAAGGGCTCTGGGAAGACAGCACAGAAGGAACATCAAGAGGGAATATACCAGCAAGTGTTGGATGACATACGAACAACCGAGGAGGAGGTGCAGAAGCTGCTAAGTGACCATGATACCTCAAAGGCGATGGGACCGGACAGCATCTCCCTGTGGGTCCTTAGAGAAGGAGCAGAGATGTTGTGTGTGCCCCTAACCACAATCAACACATCCCTTGAAAGTGGTCAACTACCTGAGAAATAGAAGACAGCAAATGTAGTCCCCATATTTAAGAAAGAAAACAGAAACGAGGCACTAAACTACAGACCTGTGTCTCTGACATGTATAGTGTGCAAAGTCATGAAGAAGATTATCAGGAGGAGAGTGGTGGAACACCTGGAACAGAACAAGATTATAAATGAAAACCAGCGTGGGTTCATGGAAGGCAAATCCTGTCACAAACCTTCTGGAGTTTTATGACACGGTAACAGAAGTAAGACACGAGAGAGAGGGGTGGGTTGATTGCATTTTCCTAGACTGCAGGAAGGACTTTGAACACAGTTCCCCACAAGAGATTAGTGCAGAGCTGGAGGATCAGGCGCATATAACAGGGAAGGCACTGCATGGATCAGGGAATACCTGACAGGGGGCAAAAGCGATCATGAGTAACGTGAAAGGTATCACAGTGGGCGCCTGTTTGACGAGCGGGTCCCACAGGGGTCAGTTCTATGACTCAGGCTATTTTTGATATATGCGAACGACATGGAAATGGGAAGAATAGACTCTGAGTGTCCCTCCCTCTATCACAGATGATGTGAAGCTGATGAGAGAATAAATCGGATGAGGATGAGGCAGGACTGCAAAGAGACCCGGACAGGCAGGACATGAGGTCCAGAAACTGGGTTCTCGAATTCACCCTGCCAAAAAGCAAATTCATGAGATTGGGGAGGTGCAAAGAAGACCGCATACAGGTTATAGGCAGGGTGGACAAAGACTACAACCACAACTGTCAGGAGAAAGACATCGGGGTGACCATAACACCGGCATGTCACCGTAGGCACACATCAACCACTAACTGCTGCAGCATACGGCGCCTGGCAAACCTTGAGAATAGCGTTCCGAAACCTTAATAAGAATCGTTCAAGACACAGAACACTGGTGTATGTTAGCCCAAACGTGGAGTAGGCAGCACCAGTCTGTAACCCCACGACCCTGGTCAAGGCACCGTTCAAGAAGTTAAAGAAAGTACAAAAGTTTTGCAACAAGGCTATCCCAACCAGAGTTCAGGGGAATGTCGTACGAGTAAAAGGTTGAGGAGAAATCGTGGAACTGACGAACAGTGGATAACAGAAAGGGTCAAGGGGAGACATTATAACGACATACAATTGATACTTCGGGAATAAACAAGGTGGACAGAGAAAGGATGTTCACAGAGGGACAACAGAAACAAGGCAGTCACAACTGGAGCTGAATACTCAGACTAGTCACCTGTGACGTTAGGAAGTCTTTCTTCAGTCATAGAGCCGTCAGGAAGCGGAATGAGCTAGGCAAGTTAAGAGTGGAGGCAGAACCATACAGTAGTTTTAAGAAGATGTACGACAACGCTCAAGAAGCAGAGAGGGAGAGACCGTAGTCGATCAGTGAAGAAGGCGGGGCCAGTGCTGAGACTCGACCATCCTGAGCAACCATAATTAGGTGGAGTCAATACCAGACACACACACAGCCACAACCAATAGAACACACACACAAGCCACACACACACACACACACACACAACACACACACATACACACACACACATACACACACAACACCACACACACCCACACACACACAACACACACTACACACACCACAGACACACACAAGGGTAACAGGAATTAATGAAAAAGCCCAGATAGCCCATTGGTTTACCCAAAGGTGCAGGGAGGCAAAAGACCGAAAGTGTTGCTAGGGAAATGGAAGAAATATAGAAGGCAAAGGACGCCAGGAGAATAAGGAGAACAGTCTAGAGCCAGAAACAGATATGCACAAATAGAAGGGAGCCCCAAGACAATATGAAATGTACATACAGCGAAAGCCAAATCTGACCCGAAACTGTTGTAAACAGCCACATCAGGATTAAAACAACAGTCAAGGACCAGTAATCAGCTAAGGAAGGAAAGAGGAGAGACAACAAGAAATACCGTGAAGTAATGTGAAGAACACAAAACGAGAATCAAAGTAAGTGTTGCAACCAGAGGATACAGAAGGGACTCCAGAAAGACGGAGAGTTGTGGGCACACCACCAAGTGCTGGACACAGTGCACACAACCGAGGAAGAAGTGAAGAGGCTTCTGAGTGAGCTAGATACCTCAAAGGCAATGGGGCCAGATAACATCTCCCCATGGGTATTGAGATAGGGATCAGAGGCGCTATGTGTACCCCTAACAACAATATTCAATACATCTATCGAAACAGGGAGATTGCCTGAGGCATGGAAGACAGCAAATGTAGTCCCAATCTTTAAAAAAGGAGACAGACATGAAGCATTAAACTACAGACCAGTGTCACTGGAATGATCTCATCAACAGCAGCCAACATGGTTTCAGGGACGGGAAATCCTGTGTCACAAACCTACTGGAGTTCTATGACATGGTGACAGCAGTAAGACAAGAGAGAGAGGGGTGGTGGAATTGCATTTTCTTGGACTGCAAGAAGGCGTTTGACACAGTTCCACACAAGAGATTGGTGCAAAAACTGGAGGACCAAGCAGGGATAACAGGGAAGGCACTACAATGGATCAGGGAATACTTGTCAGGAAGACAGCAGCGAGTCATGGTACGTGGCGAGGTGTCAGAGTGGGCACCTGTGACCAGCAGGGTCCCGCAGGGGTCAGTCCTAGACCAGTGCTGTTTCTGGTATTTGTGAACGACATGACGGAAGGAATAGACTCTGAGGTGCTCCCTGTTTGCAGATGACGTGAAGTTGATGAGAAGAATTCACTCGATCGAAGACCAGGCAGAACTACAAAGGGATCTGGACAGGCTGCAGACCTGGTCCAGCAATTGGCTCCTGGAGTTCAATCCCACCAAGTGCAAAGTCATGAAGATTGGGGAAGGGCAAAGAAGGCCGCAGACGGAGTACAGTCTAGGGGTCAGAGACTACAAACCTCACTCAAGGAAAAAGATCTTGGGGTGAGTATAACACCAGGCACATCTCCTGAAGCGCACATCAACCAAATAACTGCTGCAGCATATGGGCGCCTAGCAAACCTCAGAACAGCATTCCGACATCTTAATAAGGAATCATTCAGGACCCTGTACACCGTGTATGTTAGGCCCATATTGGAGTATGCGGCACCAGTTTGGAACCCACACCTAGCCAAGCACGTGAAGAAACTAGAGAAAGTGCAAAGGTTTGCAACAAGACTAGTCCCAGAGCTAAGAGGTATGTCCTACGAGGAGAGGTTAAGGGAAATCAACCTGACGACACTGGAGACAGGAGAGATAGGGGGACATGATAACGACATACAAAATACTGAGAGGAATTGACAAGGTGGACAAAGACAGGATGTTCCAGAGATTGGACACAGTAACAAGGGGACACAGTTTGGAAGCTGAAGACACAGATGAATCACAGGGATGTTAGGAAGTATTTCTTCAGCCACAGAGTAGTCAGTAAGTGGAATAGTTTGGGAAGCGATGTAGTGGAGGCAGGATCCATACATAGCTTTAAGCAGAGGTATGATAAAGCTCACGGCTCAGGGAGAGTGACCTAGTAGCGATCAGTGAAGAGGCGGGGCCAGGAGCTCGGACTCGACCCCCGCAACCTCAACTAGGTGAGTACACCTAGGTGAGTACACACATACACACACACACCACAACACAAAACCAAACACACACACACACACACACGCACACACACACACATATTTATAAATATCCCCATTATAATTATAATTATATAAAATATATATAAATATATATATATATATATATTTTATATATAAAAATAAAATATATATATATATATATAATATATATATAAAATATATATATATATATTATATTATTTTTGTATATGTATATTATAATATTATATATATATATATATATATATATATATATATATATTATATATAATATTTTATAATATATATATTATATATATATATAAATAAATTTTATATAAATATATAAAATATATATTATATATATAAAATATATATATAATAAATTTTATAAATATATATATATTTTATATATATAATAATATATATAATATATATATATATAATATATATATATATATATATATATATAATATATATATATATATATAAATAATATATATATAAAATATATATATATAAAATTGCGTATAAGTTGTGAAAATAGTGTAACAGGGAGTTATCAGTATTTAAGGCTCGTATAATCGTAAACCATTTGACTGCATTAGTCTTTGTCAAATTCTGACTTTAACAAAGAAGACTGGATACTGATTTATCTGAGAAATATGATGTTGTTTCCCTTGACTCTAATCATTGTCAAAAGGTTCCCTATTCAGGGAAGCTCATGATAACGTCATTTAGGCCCTAAGACGGCTTTCTGGTTCCCGAGGCTTATATGTCCATCACGTAATGTGTAGTGGTGCGTTCACCACTTCACGTAAACGCCACATTAGATGGCTGTTAGGTTCTCCTCTAATAATGCTTGCTTCCCTGCCGGGTTGTACCAGACTTTTTGTGTCCCAAGCAGGTTGTATCTGCTGTGTTCCCAGGCTGTTTGTACCATACTAATGTTGTGGTCCCCAAGCTGTTGTATTAGGCGTGTTGTGTTTTCCCCAAGCAGGTTGTGACCAGACTGTGTCCCCAAGCTGGTTGTACCAGACAATTTGTCCCAAGTGGTTGTGTACCAGACTGTTTTGTTTTCCCAAGGTGGTTGTAAGCCATACTGTTTTTGTGCGCACGCTGTTGTATCAGGCTGTGTCCCCACGTTGGTTATACCAGAATGTTTTGGTCCCACGCTGTTGTATCAGGATTCGTCCCAAGCTTGATGTACCAGACTGTTTGTGTCGAACACTGGTTGTCTCAGGTTTGAATCCTAAGCAGTTTACCATTACTGTTTTGTGTCCCCTGTACAGGTGTAACACACTTATTGTATTGCAAGATGGTTTGTACCAAAGTGTTCGTGTTCCAGATTGGTTGTATCCCAAGAACTGTCTGGAGTCCAGGATGTTGTCTAAAGGCTGTGTGGAGTCCCAGGATGGTTGTGCCAAAGAATGGCCCAGGAGTCCCCAGCAAGGTTGTGCAATACTGTCTGGAGTCTAAGGATGGTTGTGCCAAGACTGTCTGGAGTCCCAGGATGGTTGTGCCAAGACTGTCTGGAGTCCAAGGATGGTTGTGCCAAGACTGCCTGGAGTCCCTGGATGGTTGTGCCAAGACTGTCTGGAGTCCAAGGATGGTTGTGCCAAGACTGCCTGGAGTCCCAGGATGGTTGTACTAAGGCTGTGTGGAGTCCCAGGATGGTTGTGCCAAGACTGTCTGGAGTCCCTGGATGGTTGTGCCAAGACTGTCTGGAGTCCAAGGATGGTTGTGCCAAGACTGTCTGGAGTCCAAGGATGGTTGTGCCAAGAAAAAAAAAAAGCTGTCTGGTATGTCCAAAGGATTGGTTTGTGCCAAGACTGTCTGGAGTCCAAGATGGGTTTTGTGCCAAGACTGTCTGAGTCCAAGGAGGTTTGGCCAAGACTGTCTGAGTCCCAATGAAGGTTTGTGCCAAGACGTGTCTGGAGTCCCTGGATGGTTGTGCCAAGACTGTCTGGAGTCCAAGGATGGTTGTGCCAAGACTGTCTGGAGTCCAAGGATGGTTGTGCCAAGACTGTCTGGAGTCCAAGGATGGTTGTGCCAAGACTGTCTGGAGTCCAGGATGGTTGTGGCCAAGACTGTCTGGAGTCCCAAATGGTTGTGCCAGACTGTCCTGGATCCAAGTTGATGGAATGTGCCAAGACTGCCTGGAGAGTCCCTGGATGGTTGTGCCAAGACTGTCTGGAGTCCCTGGATGATTGTGCCAAGACTGTCTGGAGTCCCAGGATGGTTGTATTTATACTGTAATCTCAGGATGGTTGAGTTAAGATTGTTTCAGTTTTCTGCTCTCTACCGACTACAATAATGATAACACACTGATAGCAATTCGTCTTACAGTTTTCCTTTTCTTCAAACCGCCATGTATACCCATCCTCACACCCAGCGAGTCCTCTCTTTCTTCGTCCACTCTACATCTCTCTAACCCACTCCCCTCTTCCTTCGTCCTCTCTACTCCTCTCTAACTCACTCCTCTCTTCCTTCGTCCACTCTACACCTCTCTTAAAACCCACTCCCCACCTTCGTCCTCTTTACTCTATCTCTAACCACTGTACCCATTTCCCTCAAGAAGGCGTGTGCTCCTAGGTATCCACGGATGTCAAACAGTTTATTCCACTTGGCACTGCAGTCCCGGGGTGCTTGCTACCTCCAGATTCATGTGACGCTAACACCCCACCAAGCACCTGTCCTTATTCCGGGTAAGTCTCGCCTCAGCATAACCTCTCCTAGTCATCCTGCTCTTGTGGTTTCCTAGCGTGTCTCCGAAAGTGCTGGCTGCAGTAGTGTCCTAGTGTGTCTGGTGGGGTGTGGAATGCTGTGTACCTAAATGTCTATAATATATCCTTTGTTCTCGTCTGTGCCCTTAAGAAAAAGGAATGGTCACTACATGCGCTTGGGTGTGAGTGATCCAAATAAAAATATCCTCGGGTTTCATAAACCCCAGCCTCCTCTACCTCATCACAAGAGTAGTGAGTCAGGTAGTGCTACCGTTCTAATACAGCTTTTGTTGTGTATGTATGTGCATATATAAGCTTTCAGGTATGTTTGTGCATATGTATGCATATTTTATACCTTTTTAAATATTCATATATATACATACATACAATAATATAAATATATATATATATATATATATATAATATATATTATATATATATATATATATACATATATATATAAATAAATATATATATAAATATATATTTATAAATATATTATATTTATATATTATAAATATATATATATAAATATATATATATAATATATTATATAGAGTATATATATATATATAAAGATAGTAATATATATGTCGTGCCGAATAATGTAAAACTGGTCACTTAAATCCAGAGAACTCATTTAAAAATTAAGTCCTTTCTAAAATTTTCTCTTATATGTTTAAAGATATATTTTTTTCATTAATGTTGATGTAAAAATTTTTAATTTTGCACCAAAAGAATCTTAGAAAACTTACGTAACCTTATTATAACAAGAACAATTTATTTTAACCTAACCCAACTAAATATATTTTTGATTTGTTTACAGTAATTTAATACTAAGCAAACCATTCATCACACAATACTAAGCAAACACAGTGAAATATATTTTTTTCGTTAGGTTCAGAATGATTTTGGCGAAATTATTGCATAAAACAAATTTTCGCTTGTCCTATATGGCAAGATGACGTTGCTATTTAAGTCAAGATCGCAAGTTTCTGCCTATTGGGCACGACATATATATATATATATATATATATATATATATATAATATATATAAAATATATATATATATAATATATATATATATATATAATATAATATGAGTGAATTCCAGAATGAAAAGTTATTTGTAATTTTCTCGAAAAATCTAATTATTGTTCGTATAAATACTATGGTTTTTTTTATAATACTCTGGTTCTTTATATATAAATGGTGCAAATTTCCCTTATGTAAAGGGCCCCTCAAACTTGTCAAATCTATTTCGCGTATCGCGAATATATGTTAAAAGACTGTCACTAAGTTTCATTATGGCGCACAACTCGATGTCAGTCTCCTGTGAGACTGTTGATCATAACGATATTTTGGAAAATGTCTTCCGAAATTACACACATCAATGCTGTCACAAAGCGTTCACGTTTTTTAACGAGTGCTTTTGCTTCGTGAATAGCTGCTGGTGGTTGTTGTTCGCCTTCAGTTATATGCAACAATGCTTATCGAATCCAAAAATAGTTCTCATTAAAAGCTTTGGCAGCATCGTTTAGAGAAGACATTCTGGTCTCAGACAATTTGTGGAATTTTTCTTCCTATTCTGTTTCAGTTTTTGACCATCTCTGTTGTGAAGCTGTGAAGAATGTTCAAACAAACCGGAGAATTAAAAAATAAATTCACTACAAATCACGATAAGGGTGGGGTTAGAATCCATGGTAAGTGAGTTGTAAAAGACCAGGCCAGTGGGTAAGCCACTGGACCAGCTGGATACAAAAAGGTTCTTCCAAGCAGGTATATTTATACACCGTAGGGAGGTTAGCATGGTTCCCAATGTGACCACAAATGCAAGTTTGTTGCTTTTTAATTGTGTTATTACGATTTCGTGGGCCAAAAACCAACACTTACAGCAACAGCAGCTGCAGCTCCAGTCAAATTTAGAAAGCAGACAGCGCACGGAATCCATTCATGTAGTCTCTTAATTTCACGAAAACTTGCAAGAAGGCCAGAATACATTCCTGAAGTTTTCAATGTTTATATCAATAAAGTTTGTGAGTATTCAGTAAAAAGTCGAATTGGTATTTTCCATCATGTTGTTCAACAGGAATAAAGAAATTGCTTCGGTATACCGAGTACATAGTGCAAAACCATCGTAAACTGATCCGCGTGACTAATATCAGGTGTTGAATCTGTAAGAATTCCGCAATACCTAACATCCTTTACTTCAGGTATTACCTGCGGAAGTACTTTGGTACCTAATATAGCTTCCAATGCTAGGACAGTTAAGTCATTGAGAGTCGCTGATGAAAGCTTAATCCTCTTTCAGCATGAAATATTTTTCAGCAACTGTTCTCTCCAGAACTTAGGTCAAGTATGTTATAAAAATTTCCTTTCCTTCTGCAATTTTTGTATAGATTCTAGTGAATTACCAATATTGTTGCATTGTTGACACAGTACCAAGATCATCCTTTGACTTTTTTTACGTGATCTTTTTTCTTGATGTTGATGTTGCATCGTTTCAATCATTAAACACTGTTTTAAATCGATTACAACACAAAGCGCACATAACAGTGTACTTTACTAGTTGAAGAAGAGTAGATCAGCTAGCCTCTATTAGCTATTTCTCTATTTGTTAAACCACCTGATAAAATATTATTTTCGGGCACATCTCCTTTCTTGTACCAAACTGTTTATCTGCTTTGTAATAGAATATCGAAAACCAAATTTTGTGGGGTGATATTTTTTGCGTAGCAATTTATAAAATCTGTTGTGATCTCCCAGTCACCTGGATCACTGCTATAGTTTATTTTATAAAATAAATCCGATTATTCATGAGAATTATCTTGTTCTGTTGTGCTGGACGATTCATCACACGAAATTTGTATTTCCGGAGTCGCCTGGTATGAAATTACATGTGTTTCTTATAGTTCTTCTTTGTTGACAAAGTTTTCTTTGACATTAATGTTGTTTTACATTGTTTCTGGAGGGGATAAACTGGCAGCACAACTGGAACCATTACTCTTGTTTTCATCTACCATCACGAATTTGAGCAGTTAGTTCCCCTCGCCTTTTATAATGCTTCTTCCTTTTCTTTCTTTTATCAATGTATCCAAGTAAGTCTCAATGTGTTCAGGTTAAATCTTGTATAATATAAATTCCTGAATTTCAAGTTTAATGAGTCTTTTTTCGGCACTTAAATTTAGTGCCTCAGTACAGTTTAATTGTTATTTTGTTTATTTCTTATTTTAATTACTCACATTTCCATTTAAAATATTTTATATGAAATAATTGTTAGATTTACTTTTATTTTACTTTATTACATAAAAATTACGTGATAATTTTTCTTAATAATTTTAGATCACAGTTACTACTATGAAAACAAGACTTACAGAAATGGACAGTCTTTCACCGCCTACGCTATGGCTGGCATGAGTGGCATTATGAGTCAGGTAAGTTGGCAGTACTCTACAGTCTATGTCTGGTACATTAGCAAGGAACGAGTAAATATATACATACACACACAACACACACACACACACACCACACACACATATAAATATAAAATATATATATATATATATATATTATATATATATATATTTTATATATATATCCAAAATTTATGAAATAG